ACATGAACCACAAAAGAGATTTTTAGTTTTTAGCATAATTGAAAATATGAGTTTTGTATCATGATATCGTGAATAACATGATAATTACTAGGGGTGAGCATAGACGGGTACCCGTCCTTTTTGACAGGAACCGGAACCGGCGGTTCTTGAGATATTAGAACCGGAACCGGAACCGGAACCGGTTAGAGCGGTTCTTAAATTTTTGGAACCGGAACCGGAACCACCGGGAACCGGTTCCGGGTACCCGCTTCTTAAAATATTAAAATTTTATTGTTTAAAAATAAAAAATAAAACATTGCCAAAACACTAAATAAATAAGCAAGAATACAAATTATATAAAATAATTGTTACAAATATTGTTTAACGATTACAAACTATAATAGACTAATAGAAAATATTCAAAGTTTAACGATTACATATTATAATGGTAAATGTTCAAAGTTTAACGATTACTAGTATGAATCCAAGTGAATACACAATTTGAAAAAATACGAATCATTTTATATGGAGAWTTTAGATGAAGAATGAAAATGACGACGTGCTTTCAAGATGTAAACCTAATATAAATTTGGTATTAAAAAATAATAATTATTTTTTTACTTGAAAAATACCGGATACCCGGCGGGTAACGGTTCCGAAAAATTGAGAACCGGAACCGGAACCATTCTCAATCGGTTCCGTATTTTAGGAACCGGAACCGGAACCATTCTCAATCGGTTCCGTATTTTAGGAACCGGAACCGAAACTACTCATATCGGTTCCGGTTCCGGAACCGGCAGTTCCAAGGCGGTTCCGGTTCCATAACCGGGTACCCGGTTCCGCTGCTCACCCCTAATAATTACCGTTGTGTCAACCCTTAAGATTTTAGTAATTCGTTAATTAGGCATAGCAGCGTTTTTCTTTTTATGTTTTAACAATTACAAAACTAACATCGTGAAAAACAATGTTTTACAAGCATTTATGCTTTCATAAACCAGATAAATTTATAAAAGCAGGTAAAACGACAGTAACATTTGATTTTGATGTTTTTATGATTTACCAAAAAGACAATTCATCTCATCGCCTGTTTAATTGTAACTGTAAGATAATAAAACTTGCAACCCTAACAAAACAAGGGTTTTTCCTTCGTAATTTCAACCTTTTTTAAGAAACACAACTCTCAAACCAGCTTCAATTTTGTTTTATGACAAAATTCATAACTTTAACCACAAGGGTGGTGCCTGATTGGTTTGAACTTAGCTCCAAAAGTCAAAAGTACCAGAAGGTCCCAAGTTCAAATCCAAGGAGGAATAAAAAAAATCCTCTTATGGCCACGGAGGTTCAAATGCGGTGACTCCGGGCTATCTGCAAAACAGGTGGTCGCCCAAGAATTAGTCGGTTCACATAGCGGGTTGGATATCCAGGTTAATAAAAAAAAACATAACTTTTTTCACATGATATAATTTTAAAAATAAAAATAAATGATATCAAACAAATAAAACAGTAAATTATTATTTGTATGATTGATCGTTATATGATAGCAACGGCATGGTCACTCACTCTGATTCTATGGCAACGCAACGCCCCTACGCCCCCACCTATTTCTTCAATCATACTCCACGACTCCACGTACCGTCATTGCCCGTCTCTCGTTTTCCAGTGTTACAAATAACAAGTTATTATTCATTCAAACAAATCTAGAAAGTACGATTCGTTTCTTTCACTTTATTATTTAATAAAAAAATATTTTCAGTACAAATTCATAATTCTCAGTACTTTTCCCCATAGGGTTAATAAATTTTGTACTACTCTTTTTACAGATTTTCTACCCACGTCACTGCATTTGTACGATTAATTTTTTAGTCAACTGTTTTTATTTTTGTAACAGGTATTCAATAAGTTTGTATATATATTAGGCATGGTTTTTATTTTTATTTATAAAATAGAAAATTATTAATGAGAAATAATATTTAATAAATATTTATTGTTTATATTTAATTTTAAAAAATAAATTAAATGACATGAAATTCTACATAACATGACACATTGGCTATAAAAGTCCATATACATTAAAAATATTAATTATAATAAATTAAAATGGAAAATATAATTAAATATAACAACTTCCAACCAAATCATTACTAGAATAAATATGATTGGTTATAAAGTAAATGCAAGTATCATTAAATACATACTACTTTTATAAATACAACATTTTATGGTCAAAGAAAATATACAAGTTTTTAATTGGCAAAATAAAATCAATATTTTTTTTATTAAAAAGAATTTGTATCAATAGTTACATTGTTGTACTTAGGGTCACGTGAAACCAGCTTGTTTTTGTGAGATCCGTGAGACTATTTTTTTACACTTGATACTTCACAGCAAAACACTGTAAAGGTAACATTCATAGTGTTTTTGTTGTGAGGATTCAGTTTTTTTTTTATCTTCACAGCGTTAGGCTGTGAAGTTTCAAATGTAAAAAGTGGTCACGAAAACAGTCTGGTCTCATGTGAATCCAACCATATATAAGACTAGAAATGAATAAGAGTCGGATAGAGTAATAACCGTTCTTCATTTTGAAACGTGAGTTCAGACTGATATTTTGATCCTTAACCACTCCTAGTTAATATATTATAAACTTTAATTTTAGATTAATATGAGCTTTTATATTGTTAATCATGGGTGTTTCTTTTTGAAGTATATAATATTTATATATGACAAATGCAACAAAAAAAACTCGCACACTCTCCTCACATTTGTTGAGGTTTGAACCCCTGACCTTTTAGGAGAACAAAAACTACGATACCGCTAGGACAAAAGCCATTTAGTTGTTTATCATGGGTGTTCGGGGAAACTTGTGCACACCTTGACTATTTCCAAAGGCCTTGGAGAACAGTCTGAAAGATCTTCAATGGTTTTACAATACTTGAACAAATGACCTCTGAGGATGATCCCTAAAAGCCCGATCCTTACTGCCACTTGGACCATTGACAAACTTATTAACTGGGCTTCGACCATACTTCATAATAACTGGTCCTTATTCGATTCTCCATAATAAAAAACACTTCATAAGTCGGTACCGGTCCTTCAGTTTATTTGTGTATTTTTAGATCAATTAATCATAAAATAAAAACATGGCTCTGAAATCGACCTAAATTACAGTTGATAAAAATCAAATTAGATTTTCAAAAACATTTATTTGATTATAAGTTGTTGTGTGACGACTTAGGATCACATCAACCCACCGTGTTTTCATAAAACCTATATGATCATTTTTTTACACTTGAAACTTCACACCAAAAAACTGTGAAAGTAACATCCATAATGTTTTTGCTATGAAAGCTTGGTTTTTTTACTATCACAGCGTTTTGCTGTGAAATTTCAAGTGTAAAAAAATAGTCTAACGAAAACAAGTTGGTCTCACGTGAACCTAACCCGTTGCGTGAATCCATTAAAATCTGTAATTGATAAAACGTACAACACAAAATATCAAAAGATTTGATAAATATATAATTAATAATAAATTAATTAATTAGAGAAAAATAAGGAAATAGATTTAAATTGCAATTATAAAAATAGAAAGATATCGTACATTTAAAATATGCTAAATCATGGCTTAAAAAATAACCAAATGGTATTATTATTTATTATTATAATTATTGCCACCAAATAATAAAATAATTTCCTAAAAAAATAGTTGTCATGCTGAGCTGGATAACTGGATGTACACGTTGGCTATGTCCACGTGGCTTTAAACGAGTGGAAATTAGGTAACCAAAATGGAAGGAAATCTCCCATAACAAACAATACATTCACTGAAATTACGAATTTATCCCTGGACGCGGTACTTATACAACTGGCAAATCTCTACATTTATACAAGCGTAATTTGACAGCCCCTATTTGTTGACGTGGATTTTATTCTATTCCCATTTTCCAAGTGGAATATACTCCCTTAATCATTGAGTATTTTTTTAGTATATTACGTATTTAGTCCTTATGGTTTGTTAAAAGTTGTGATTTTCGTCCTTATGATTTTAAAATTGATAAAATAGAAAATTTAAACAAATTCAGACATTTATCAGTTACATAAACAAACAGTCTTATTGATTCATATTTCAGACTTCAACACCACCTCTTATTAATCAGAAATGAAATAAAAGTTTAGACTTCAGCATCACTTAAAAAACAAACGTCACCTAAGTATCCACCTTCAAAAGTAATGTTTACTTTCTTATTTACCATTAATTATCAGATGGATAAAATCTTTTCTCTATAATTTAGGTTAAAATTAGTTTTTTGTTAGTTAAAAAGTGAATTAATTACAGTTTTTCTAAAACCGTGTCTTTTACATTATGAACATTTATTTTGGAAATAAGGAATTAAATCATAAAAACAAAAAAACATCGAATTGTACTGCGTCTCAAAATAAATGTCCGCGGTAAAAGTGACAGTTTTAGAAATATGTGATAAGGGTGGTGCCTGATTAGTTTGAGCTTGGCTCCAAAGGTCAACAGTACTAGGAGGCTCCAGGTTCAAATCCAAGTAGGAATAAAAATTCCCTTGTGGCCACAGAGATTCAAATGTGGTGACTCCGAGTTATCTGCAAAGCAAGTGGTCGTCCTGGGATTAATCAGCTCACATAGCGGATTGGATATCCAGGTTAATCAAAAAAAAATATTATACTTTTCAATTAATCAAATGACACTGTTACCTTTGATAACAGAGAGATAAATTTTTTCCATCTCTTAATTAAAGACAGAATGAGAAAGCGTAAAACTTATTCTGTCATAATGATGAAAAACATAAATTAAAAAAATACAGGGACCAAAATAGAAAGTTTTAATAAACTACAGAGACTAAAAACGTAATTTACTCCTTTGTTTTTCATTTCACACCCCTCTACAAAAAAACCCACCATAAATTTATATCTCTCTCTCTCCTATTCCAACTATTTGCCTACGTCCCCCCCCTCTCTCTCTCTCTCTCTAAAACTCCCCTGTTTTCAGTCATCGTATTGTCTTTGGTTGATTCAGAGGTTGATATTCAGATTTAATATATTGGTTTTGATCATCGTGTTGAGATACAAGTTGGTTAAGATTATCTGAAATGTCTTTCAGATTTTTCTTTCTTTTTCCTAAGAAATCCAAGGTTGAAGAAGGAGATTGGGAAAAGAAGAGATAACTCAGTGTAATCGTTGTTCTTCAACACGAATTTTGGTTGTGCTATATATATATATATATATACATACACATCGATATAAGTATATATACAACTGTTTTTGTATATCTGAAGTGAAATTGTTGCTGTTGATCCATCGAACTTCTCTCCTTCTACTGGTAATTTGATTTTGTTTGTTGTATGTATTTGATTTTGAATCTGGAATTTGGAATTTGATGTTAGGTTTTGGTTAATGTTGATGATGATTTTGTGGTTTTATTTTGGTTTTAGGGATGTCGACTACGGTTATGAGTGATGCGATGATGATGCCGGCGACGGAGTCGCCGCCGGTGACGGCGAATCTGAGTTCTCAGACGACGGAAGTAGAGTTTGCCGTTTGCGATTGCTGTGGATTAACGGAGGAGTGTACGCCGGCGTACATGGAGAGGATTCGAGAAAGGTATCAAGGAAAATGGATCTGTGGATTATGTGGAGAAGCGGTGAAAGATGAAATCGTTAGAAGTGAAAGGCTGATCAGCACCGAAGAAGCTATGAATCGCCATATGACGTTTTGTAGAGCTTCTAGATCATCAGGTCCGCCACCTAATCCGGCGGTGCATTTGATCGCCGCCATGAGACAGATTCTCCGGCGAAGTTTGGATTCACCTAGATCTCTAAGGTCTATGCCTAGTAGTCCAACGAAGAACATCGATAGCAGTTCACTTTCTCGATCTGAAAGCTGTATGCCAAATCTAACCCTAGCTGTTGATTCATCCTCGTATCCTGAATTGAAAGAAGCTGATGAATGATCCAACAGAATCCGCCATGGACGAACAATGTAAGCTTCAATTCCTTGATCAAAAAAATCCGCCATGAATGAACAATGTAAGCTTCAATTCCTTGATGCTGCAAACAGGATTTGGGAAAAATTAGATGATTAATTTAGATTGAGACAGTAATTGTACCCAAAATCATCATAATTACTAGAGATTAAGAACGGTTTCATCTTATATTGTTCTTCCTGCAACTTCTTTCACTTGAATTTTTTCTTCCATTTTTGAAATTTATTTCTTCAAATCTTTTGGGTACTAAATCGCATACTTCTTGCATCAATCCAAAAAATACCCAACTGATTTCATCGAATATGTGTCACAAATCACTGCAATTTTCGATAAGATTTTGTGCTAAAATTTAGTGGTTTAGTTAACAAAATAGGAAGTCTACACATATTTACAACATATTGAAATTTTGCATTTAATTTAAGATATTTTAAACATTTAATTTCAAGATTTTTTACTGGTGAAATATAATAAAGAAATTATTTATCTGTTTTGAAGAATCTTTTGTTGAAGATGCTCTGATAATCTTCAAACGGGAATAATCTTTTTGGCTTTTCTTGGACATACATTTTGCCACGAGATGAGATTCTTCAATTTTTCTTACCGTCCGGATTACAAGCTAATTACGTTTCATAAAAAGAGGTGGAAAGACGATGAACAGTGGTATTTGTAGATTCATATTTTCGACCACATTTAACCGAACATATATGCTTTAAAAAATATTAAAAGATAGTTATCGGGTAAGAATTTGTATTCTATATGTATGTAAAAGACAAGAAAGTGTGTCAAAAAACCCTTGAACTACATGGTAATATGGGAGGTGGTATCATGCCAAAAGATGTTTGTTTGGAATCTTTATCGGACCCTTTTTATCGTACATCTTGTGACAAGGCTAGAAATGTAATTTGAGATCGAGTCGTATAGCGGAAAATCACTATTCGGATTTAAAAAATACAGATTGGAAGATATCTATGCTATATTATAAAGCATTTGACAATTACTTTTAAAAACCATTTTTTATGTAAGAAGTATTGTTTATTGATGTATATTACTTAAAATTCAAGGTTACAAGTAAATTGTATATAAGTACAACTTATTAAAGCTACATGTTTGAGTTCGTGTAACTATGTATAGATAAACATAATCAACTACAGAATAAACATCTCATTTTAAATATAAAAAATGTAAAATATAATTAAGATAATTATTGAGTTATGCTTATAACATAATACATAATTATTATCATTATAAAAAATTATATTATTAAATCAAAATAAATTACTTTGTTATTAAACCTATATTAAATTACCTCGATCTATCTCACTGCATTGCGCGAATATCCTTCCAGTGCAAAAAAATGATTATAAGACATGTAAAGATATAAATTTTGTAATCCGTGATATCAATTTAGACTGTGATGCCAACTCTTCGGTTCTTGATCAAAAAAATGGTGATGGTTGTCAAGATAAAATCAAAGGCGAACTATATATAAATAGAAAAGCTATCTATATATCATATCACAAGCTTAGATAGATGCAGAGGCGGAACGCAACTTGACTGGATCAGCAATAGTGGAGGGACCCAAAATAATTTTATACTTAACACCTTAATGGACCGGAGATGTTTCACTCTATTGGGAAAAAAAAACCCACGGGGCAAGGTCCCTAAAGTCCCCTGAATAAAAGAGAATCAAAGGATATGTATCTAATATCTTCGTAAATAGAATAAACAATAAAAAAAGTATCTTTAATCCATCCAATCGTGCATACATGACTATATATATAAAGACATCCACCATCAGACAAAACTGCACACATACAGCTTTCTTTGAAATATTTTCTCGATTGTCTCTCTAAAATAACCCTATAACTACGACACTGGAATATCAATGTAGAAAGGGTTTGGAAGAGTCTCGTGGCAAATGCGACATGTTCGACATCAGTAGTCAGCATGTACCTTTAATCCATTCAATCGTGCATACATAGATAGATAAATAAAGACAATCACTACCGTTCAAAGCTGTACACATACAACTTTCTTTGAATTATATTTTCAACATTCTATTTTAAAAAGAAACCTTGTACCTCTAATACTGGAATATCAACACAGAAGGGTTTTGGAAGAGTTTCGTGTAAAACCCCGACAAATTCATCGACAGCAGTCGGCAAGCATCCCTTTAGGAGACACATAAAATCGTTATCGAATTAATTCGAGTGCAAGAACATCAAGATGTCTATACTATCTTATAAAGCAAATTCAACAAAAGTCTTAAAGTCTTGAAATACTAAATGACCAATATAACTTTTATATCACTTTTTCACCCCATCCTCTTCTCACATACACTCACCCTCTCACAACCCATTTTTTTTTTTAAATTATAATTTTAAATTTATATTTTATACCCCTATAATTAGTTAATTAATTTACATTACGTCCTTTACTTTTAAATGTTTCATTTTAAACTTTTATCAATTAATATACATAATCGTATATCGATTAAAACATGTTTAAAAAATACATTTTTATTTTAACAAGTTACACCATTATAATCGTCTCGTTAATACCTTCGAAATGAGTCCAATATTGAATAGTTTTTTACGTAATTATATTATTATATATTATATATATTGTGAAAAAATATTTTTAATATTTACGATTTATACTTTTATAGTTATTTTATATATATATATATATATATATATATATATATATACTATATATTTTGGGGTTAGGCTGTCCAAATTGCACTGTATAATATGTTCTAAATTAATATGTTATTGGGTTTTTTTTTTTAAATATATATATGTACATGTATTAATTCAACCTTAATCTGAGTTTCTGGACAAGAAAGAGGGTAAGCAGTTGAAATTTCATTCTAAAACCCATCTTTTTTTGTCTTTTCATGGCTTATGATCTGTTAAAATTGTAGTTTTCTTTATTGGTTTTGAGTGTTTATCTTAAAACTCAAGTTTCTTGGTTCTTTGCTCTTTGTGTAAATCGAACACATTTGTGGAGTCGTTTAAATATGTTGGATTTTAAACTGTCATACAATTTTTTTTCATCGATAGTCTGTAATTGGAACCATAATTCTTATTTATTCAAATTGTATTAATATGTAAAGACCAAGTGTAACATATATCATCGTTAAATCTTATCTTATAAAACCAATGAAACTTCAAAATCGTTAAATTCATAGCTCCCGTCGCATCGCACAGTTACACAACTAGTGTATGATATGAAATATGACATGAATTGCAATGAAAAAGTAAAGGTTGAAAGAATGCAAATAGTTTTTGTTTGTTTGTGTAGGAAGGGAAGGCCAATGCATGTGATGCCAAGTACAAAGGATCCAAAGAGTGCATATGAGTGGATCTAGACAAGGCCCTACTCTTATGTATAATTTCATTTATTATCGGTTTTTTACTGATTGTAAACTGGTTTATATTTAATGTATTAACTGTCTGGTGTTTTCGATGATTGTAAATTAGGGGTCGTTTATCAAACACTTACTCGGTAAGCGTTTGCCGGTAAAATTTAACACTATCATTTACTTATCGGGTAAGATTTTAGTCCAACAAAACGACATCATATACAACCATTTACCCGGTAAGCACTTATCATGGTAAGAGTTGTCGTCCTCACTTACCGGATAAAACTCTTGGTCTTTGTCTCACTCTTACCGGGTAAGATTCTTGATCCTTAACATATTCATTCGATAAGGTAATGTGATTTTGGTAAGCGCTTATCCGGATATGCGTTTGGTAAACGGCCCCTAAGTGATATATAATAACGTTAATTTTAGAAACGTGTATTTTCGACAAGTTGGTTTTACAGAACTTGTACTTAGTAGTTGTATCGGCCACGGGTTTTGGCATCATCATACAGAACTACAGGTGATGACAAATCTATTTATTTTTTTAAAAAGAGTATTTATTTCGAAAAGTTATTTGTTTTTCTATAGGAAGAATAAGGCAGCGTTTATTTTTTAAGAGGTATTAAAGTCTGAAATCTTATTTCACTTCAAATTTATAAGAGGTGATGCTGAAGTCTGAAATCTGAATCAATAAGATTGTTTGTTTTTGTAGACTGATAAACGTCTGAATTTGTTTAAATTGTCTATTTTACCCATTAAAAGTTATAGTGTTGAATTTATAGATAAATTTATACAATTTCACATATTTATTCATCATCATTACTAATTTTACATATAAATTATATAATTAACATTCATTTAAACGAAAATATGTCATTAACGATATTTAACACATTTACATCTTATTAAAATACATTAATTGAGAGAGGTGAGAATTGGTTTGGTGATGATCTACTGAGAGAAATAATCGATTAAGACTAATCGATTGAGAAATGCTGTTGTTGAGAATTTGAAGAACAATAAGAGGTTGGTTTACCTCTTACCAGATAAGAGTAAAATAAGATACAAGTTCCTCGAAAAAATTGAAAAAAATAAACAGTCTGAATGACCTTACCTCTTAACGATTCAACCATAAAAGGGTGATAACAATTTTTTTATGAAAAACAAACAAGGCCTAAGAAAACAAAATCAATTAATCAGTTACGATATAAAATATGTAAACCAGATATAAAAAGTTGTACTGTTTTATGTCATGGTACTCTAGGCATGTAGTAGGTCAAAAGACTAAGAACTATACCAAGACCATGTTATGAATAGTTGGATAAGTTTATACCTTATCATCGAATATCAGTTCTGTTACAACTGGAAGTGCTCAAAAACCCGATCAACCCGGTTAATCCGATCAACCCAATTCATTAATTTTACAACAGTGGTTTGCTGTTTGTCAAAATAGGATCTGTCAAATTTTATAAAAAAATGATTATTATGATTTTAAGCTTATTTGCAACATAATCGAACATTTATTCAATTCTATCAGCGAGTTTATATCTGTATAAATAAGTCAACTCAGATATATATTTTTTGCATTATAACTGTATTCATTAAATTTTTGTCCACTCATACAACAACCCAATAATTGGGGGATTTGGTTTTTTCTATTGTCACTATGCCAATAATTGTCAAATTAACTATTCAATTTACACTAATCAACCTGTGTTTTATTCATTATTTTTTGTTGTTTTGTTATTATTGAAAGTATAAATCAGAACCGTTTGATTGCCGACCAATCATTGAAAAAGTAATACTAAAAAACGT